GAATGAAGTTGAAGATGAAGAGAAACCGGTGAAGGCTCGTGCCAAGAGAGCACAAGAGGAGGAATGTGAGGAGGATGTCAAGGATAAGCGAAAGGGCCGAGGCCGTCCTAGTGCCAAGACAAAGCCTAAGTCAAAGGCAAAGTCAAAGGCAAGGGGCAAGCCTGATGAGTCGAGAAAAGATGTGGAGGAGACAAAGAAACGTGTTGCGGTGCCTGGCTTCCCCTTGACGTTTGCGCGTCGCTACCGACCAGAAAGTGAGTCATCTGCTGCTCACTGGGAGGCGAAGGTGAAGTCGTTTTTGCTCTATGTGCTGCCAAAAATAGAGAAGAAACAGAAAACACAGTTTGAGGCCTGGTTGATTTTGACCTACAGCCTGCATGTGCACCAATTGTGTTTGTTTCATGGTCTGCACTGCAGGTGAAGTTCTGGAAGTTTGCCACCGATGACTGGTCCATGAATGGTGAAGATGACAGTTTGAAGGGTCTCTCGGACTTCTACAAGACGAGTGCTGAGAACTTCTGTTCGTGAAGGACACCTTGAATGTTTTTGCTGTATAGGTGGTGTGTTGCTTGCTATAGTGAGAGGATCTGAAGCTGCCTGATGAGCCCTGATGAGTGTGAGCGATGGCAGCAGTTGCTGCAGACATCATTTGCTTAGGGTGGCTTCCCAATGTGGAAGTATGGGGTGCAAGTGTTAGGTCTGTGGCTGGCTCATAAACAATCATAGTGGGACCGATGAACTAGCAGCTGTGAGGGATCAAATGTGCACGCTGTGTACCAGTGTGGTGTGCATGCTCCATGGGATTGTTTGCCAAACTTTTTTTGTTGATCCTTCATGGGATTGCTTCATGATTGTGTGCCACACGTGGCAATCATTGAGGTCCACATGGTGAAGAAAAGGCTTGCTGGCTATCGCTCCATGGCCCGCAATGGCCAGTTGAGGCAAGTGATCTCTCAGGGTGTTGCTGACACGTGTTGCTGATGTTAATGAAGTTTGCAATACGAGACCTTTGAGACTTTGGTTGAACAAGCAAGCTTTTGATGCTGCTGCATGCAGTGTGAGGCTCGCCAGCTATATAGGGACTAAAAGACATGTGCATGAGTGCATGCATGTGTGAACTGCATAAGCAATCAAGCAATGCGCGCATGGGATGTGAATGGTTTGGTGATGAGCTTGTTCAAACTCAAATGTCCTAAGGAACCTTGGCAGCAATTCATTATTTGCGTTGGTGCCTGGGCCTTTGTAGGCCTTGGGCGCTTGGGCTTTTGCCAGCCTGCCTTTGGGCCTTTGGGGGCCTAAAGGATTAAGTCTTAATGTTTGGGCCTTTGCAGGCCCAGTGTTTGGGCCGTTGCTGGCCTTGGAGTGCTGGAAGTTGCGTACCTGCCTTTTGTGCTAGGTTTTCGTGCTGATCGTACTACTGGTGGTATGGAATGAAGATCTGGGTGTTCAGAGCCAGACTGGGAAGGCCGATATTCGTGCTGTTGAGTGAGT